TAGACACTGAGGTGCACCCACAAGACTACTTATTATAATATATTATATTATGCCCCAGACAAAACACAGGAAAATGATCTCCAGGTGGGTTTCACAGGAACTGGGTGCTTGACGTATCCACAAAAAACAGGAGACAAATTGAGTCTTACCTAAGTCTCTTACTGTCATAAATTTGCTCTACTTTCGCTATTTCTAAAAAGGAGATGTATGCATACATACTTATATACATACATATACATACATACACAAATTACTGTGTAAAACTTGTGTTCTTATGCAGACTCTAGAAGAACACTTTATAAGCAGTGAGATAACATAAAAGCACACACAAACATCCCATCTAATGCAGATTCCCATCTCAGAATGGCCCATTTTAGATGAGAGTGGACATCAAAAAACAAGACAAATGGAGATGAATGTCTGCAGTGGCATATCCTCCTTTCTGCGGACACTTCCAGTCTTCCCGAACCAATAAGCATATCAGGGGTCTCAGATATCATGAACATTTGTGGACATGAAGACAGACAAAGAGAAATCGTAGAGCTAATCTCTTGAATAACTGAAATAATAAGTCCTAATTATTGAATAATTGTGATGTATTGTGAGGTCATCATTTATCATATGTATGATTTCTTTTCAGTGTAACTTAGAAAAAAATGTATTATATTTTGCTTAGAATCATAAAATTTAGGTACATTTCCAAATTCAGATGCATATAAATGAAGATGATTTTGCCTTTCCCCCGCCTATGTGAATTGACTTTTGATTTGTTTTCAAGAGGTTCATTTCTGGTTGTCTGCATTGCTGAGGCTCTAGACTAACTATCCTGAACCTCTGGTCCTCTCCATTGCTTTGACAATAAGAATACTCTGATATAGGTGTCCCTTCCCCCACAAACTTTCATTCCTGAAGATGGATGTTAATTTAGTGAAGTGTAGCAACCACAATCATGTGTCTGCTTGCTTGAGAAAACTTCAGCTATTTTTTTTCTAGAAGGCTTTGAAAATGAGATTTCAAATATTCATTAATCTTTTTTTTCTTTCCTTCCATGAAACTGTGAAAGAAACACATTATGGAAAGTTTCTGTATGACCTCTTTTTCCTCAAAACTGAAGTTGAAAGTAGACCTGTAGAAAGATGATCAGCTGAGACTTGCTAGTGCTTAAATCTTTAGGCAGCTTGGTTTCCCAAGAAAGTAGGAACATTTGGACAGGTAATACTAAACCAGTAATAATGAGTGGTAAACAAAGGAAGAAGTGAAAGAGTCTGTTTGGCTGCACGGTGGTTATTGGCACCAAAACAAAAACAAAAACAATCTAGGTTTGATCATGCTGAGAAAGGTATGTTTTCAATTGTGTGAGATTCCAAGAGAAATCTTCCAAAGCAGACATATTTTTTAAAAAAGGGATGGTAGATCAGTGGAGAGCAGCACAAACCCTTGAAAAGCTCAGATAGAGATAGACTGCAGATGAATCAAAGGTAGAAGAAAAAAAGTTGTGCCTTAGCCTCAGCCAAAAAATTTTCAGATATTATAGGGATTGTAAAACTGTAGGTATCTCCAAAGAAACTAAATGACATAAAATACCTGTTAAGAAAAGCACATTCAATAAGAGATATTGCAAATCATTATGAGTGTTCAATTGCAATCAAACTGCAATGGAAGAGAGCATTTGGGGACCCTGAATTTGAATCTGAAAGAAAAGGAACTACAAAAGAAGTGAACATTAATTTGATACAGAGAATATTATGTTTTTTGCATATGACATGGACAAAATCAGAAAATAAGATTTTAAGCATCTTAATATATCTAAGGTATTGTCACTCAGCCTTTACTCTTTATTCTGGAAGTGAATTGCCCTCTGTACAACTACAGCTGCCCAGTGTCTATTAGGAAAGCACTAGGTATGGCCAAACATCAAGTAGCATAGCAAGAAAAAAGAGGGGTTGTGCACAGCAGACATTCAACTGTTTCAAATTGTGACATAATTTTTTTGTGTAGTTGTTTTTAATGACTACTAAAAATACTACTAAAATACGGAAATTTTCCTAATTGCTCCATCCCTTTAATTAAAGTCAGTATTCAGAATTTGAGTCCATTTTCATATGCATTGTATACATATAATGCATATTCTATTTAGTAATAAGTGGCTCTATGATTTTAATTTCATTACTAGTCTGATAATTTTGATGACAAGTTTGTGAAGCATTCAGCTGAAGGATTATTCTGCCTGAGGTGCAGATATTTCCTGTGTTTCCTCTGTTCGTTATTTGCTCACCTCTTTAATCTTTAAGACATCTTTCAGGGAGAGGAAGAGGCTCAGGAACCATAAAGGATAAGAAATGAGGTTCTTCTACAAGAAAATATTGCTTCTGCTTCTTCATTTTGTGCTATTTCAGGTTTTGAACATTCATAAGCAAATGTAGATGTATATGAAGATTTCTTTAGTGATTACAGCACTAAAATAGCAAGATAATCCATGCTCAGCTTTCTAATGAAGCTAAAAAGAAACATCATGGCTTTATCTGTACAATATTTTATTTATTGCCTGAAGAAAATATAGCCTACAGCTTCTAAATAAGATCAGCTTCTTGAAAAATTGCTAGCAAGATGCCTTCAGATACTGCATAATATTTGGTGCTGCATTTCTAGATATAATAAAGCTCTATCTGTAGTAATAAATTTTAAAATAGAAAAATTCCATTCGTCAGCAGAAAGAGCTAAACAAGTCCCTGAAATCAACATAAGATCATAATCTCCAACCAAGATCCAGTACATTCTAGACCATAGTCCATTTAGTTTGTATTTGAAGCTAAGAAAGAGACTTTGCTGCTACTCTTACAGAAGAATACAATAGATTTTCTCCATCACTTTTGAACTTGGCTTACAAAAGGCTGTTTTTCTCATTTTATGTAGTACTGGGACAGTGTGTAATCATGTCTTAAAGGTATGTACTGATACTTCCTCATGCTCATTTTCCTTAAACCATTCCTGTGAATACCCATGACTATATACTGAACTTTAGAACGCAATAGAAAAATAGAAATGTGTACACTCTGTATTTGCTAACATTGATTTTCACTTTCTATACTTGCTAGCATTAACTCAGAACCATAGAATCATTAATGTTGGAAAAGACCCCTAAGATCATCTAATCCAATCATCAATCCATCACCAGCATACCCACTTGCACTGCTTAGTAACACTTCAGTCAGTCTCTTGATTTTTTTCTGCATTTTTTTAGCATAGTGAGCCTTATCTTTAACCCTAATGCTTCATTTGTTCCCCCTTAATTGTACCCTGTCAGTTCCTGCTTGTCTTCTGAGTTTCTCCGAATGAAAATGAGTATGATCTATTTCAAGATTTGCAACATCTGTTGTAAGTTTAAAGGTATATATTGAAAAAGAGAGACAGCCTTAGAATATCAGTGAGACATTCTATAAAAACAGTCTGCTTTTCCTAGCAAATATTTTACAAGTAATGAATTGCAAGACGTAGAACTGGAATGGTTAATTCTACACTCTATCAGGACATTACTATATGACTCTACATTGCTCAACCTGTATTTTTTCCTAGAATATTTCTAGCTTGGGGATTTTCATTTTTTTTTTCTCTTGAAAGAGGCTACATTTTAAAAATTGTGATTACTTTTAGCATATTTTCAAACAGCTAGACTGTGTAATCAACTCTGCTTAATGCAGAGGACTATGGAGGAGTATCAAAGCATCTGACTGTGTTAATTTGAAACTAATTTAAAGCTGTGCTTGGGATTAACACCTGTAAGACTGATATGATCATTTATTGGATATTGTCTTTGTAGGAACAGCTAATGCCTTTAAACATCCGCAATTGTTCCTAAGAATTCTACTCATCATATAACTTTGGAAATCCAGGTAAATACCTGGTCAGGACAAATAAAACCACTGAACATAATTGAATGAAACTGAAAAATGGACCAAAACCACAAACAATTCTCCTGTTGTGAGTTATATCCATGTATGGTAACTGTTGAGTCATGGCCTGAACCACTGATTGAGCACCTGGGGAAAGAACCTGGTCAGCACTGGGAGCACAGGTGAAGGCAATTCAGCTGTGTGACCAGAAGGGCTGCAGCCTGGCTGCACCTCTCTTAGACCTCATTTAAGGGCTGACTGCCCTCCCTTGTGAGGTTTTCCTTGCAAGCCTAGAGCTTCAGAGATGGGTAAGTACTTTTTCCTTGTAACCCCTTTCTATTGTAGTAGTCCCTGTGTCATTATACCTCCTGTATCACCATTCCATTGTGCTGATCTTTCTGAGTGTTACAATCCATAATAGAAGCAGTTCTACAGTGGCTTAGACTCAAACACAGTAAGCTATCTGAAATGTAGTGTATTACACAGTAAGCTATCTGAAATGTAGTGTATTAAAAGGACCAGGAACAGTATTGATATCTTGATATTCAGACTTGCATTTCTACTGATTCTCCTTGTCAGGTAAATGTGAAGTGCTCTCTCTGTTTATGATATACCTTAAATATTTAGCTTTACTGAAAAAGCATCTGATTAAACAACCTGTTTTATAGTGGTGGAGTATGAATAGGGTTGTCAAGTCAGAACCCTGTCATTCATATTGTTAAAACTGCATGGGCTTTCTCTTCTTTTTTTTCTTTTTTTTTTTTTTTTTTTTTTTTTTTTTTTTTTTTTTTCTTCTCTGAGTTCTAAAAAAAGCCCAGTCCCTTGCATTGTATTCCCTTTCCTTAATTGTTAATGGCTTCTCTGGAGCAGTGTTAGGGACACTGATGTTATCTTTCTAACTACTTTTACTATAAGTACTTTTGCTTGCTTTCAGAGATGAAACTACAAAACTACTGCACTGGAGTCTAAGAGGATGAGATGAGTAGAAAGCCAGGCTTTTAGCTCTGCTAATCACATCATTAACCGCTTTTCTTTAGAGTGGGAGAAAAAAATCATTCTCAAATTAATTTCAGTAGTGAATGGTAAAGAGGCATTAAGAAATGCACTTACTTCTCTCTGTTGAATATGATGAATTCTTTCCTAACAGTTTCCAAGCACTGCTGCAGGTGTACGTTCTTTAAAAAACAGCAGGAATAGGTTCATTAAAAATGACAGAAAATCATAGACAAGATCACACCTACAGAAACAGTACCAAATAAAACAGCTTATGAATGAATGCTACCAAAAGGTATTTTGAAGATTCTTCATAAGTGGGCCCTAAAAGTGCAATCATTCTTTCCCTGTTTTGAGAGCTGTTCCCCACAAGGAATTCCTGGGAATTCTTAACTTTGATAACTCTAAGAAAAATGGATTTTGTAATCATTCAAAATTATTGGGAGAAGCAAGAGAACTCATTAAAAAGACCCCAATGAAATAAAAATTCAAATTTGAGGAATGGTTATTTCTTTGTCTCCTTAAAGGTTTGGACTGTTTATTCAGTATGTCTTTCTATGTGGAACGCATGAGTAAGGCCATGAAAGACAGCTTTTAAATGTTCATAAGTAAGAAATATTTAACTGCGTACTTCTCATTTTTGGTACTAGTAGTGAATAAATACTCCTAAATGTCTGGCCATGTGTGGGAAGCATATTTGCAACTGGCAACACTTCTTTTTATACTTTAAACAGGCATCAGTGATAATCTTAAAAATGATTATAGCTCCAACGTGCTGTTACTATTTCACTGAGGTAAGTGGCTGCTTTCATCTTTGGAGAAGGATTCTGCAGTTGTATGTAAACACAGAGAAACATAGAGACCAACTGTATTTTCACAGATGGTGGAACAGAACTTCAGTTACTTTGCTCATTACAGAATACATGTTATGAGCCAGTGGCTGAAACTTACCAGAGGGCAGCTTTCTTTAGTTCCATCCTTGGATTTGTTTTTGGCAAGTCGCTTTTTCTTTTTGTGAAGGGGCTTGGACTCCAAGATCATTTCTTCAAGTTCAAATGTTGGATCACAGTTCAGTCTTCCTTTCTGGTACGAAAGGATTCGAAGTTACTCTTTGAAGTATCATGGTATTTTTTCAGTTTATGTGGTCAGTGGTAATAGCATTAAGTTTAATAAACGAAAGCAGGTTAAATAATTTCTTGCTTCCTTTGTTGAATATTTAGCAGTACAAAAAACTATTTGTTGTTTATGTGACTAAGCTGAATATAAAGAAATTAGGTAAACAGTATAGAAACACTAGTAGTAATTCAAAGATGTATCTGTGGATCAGAGGAAAGGAAGGCAAGACAAGCTCTTGAAAGAAACACCAAGCTGTTTAAACAATGAGACTCTACCTTGATGATGGCATACTCTGACTTCAACTCAGCCTCTTGCCTAAAACCTGAAAACCAAGAAATATTTTGTTCTCTGGTCTCAGTTAATTAGTGAATGCTTTCCTTGGTCAACAGAGTACGGTTCTTGGGAAATGCCTTGCTAAATCTGGTCTCTTGAAATAGCAAAGCATACTGTGTAAAGATATGTCAGCCTGGAAAACACGCTTTGACTCACATTTTCATTGTTTTTCCTAGTACATCTGATTGACCAGGTGGAACAACCTCTGCAATATCAATCTCTATCCTAACGTGCAGAGTTTTTTAATAGGAATTTCAGATTGATCTCTATAGGTAAAAAACACTGTTTTTCTACTTTTAAAGATGGAATATTATTTTCCCAAGATCAAGCAAGAATCAGTCTTGCAACTCAAATTCAATTTCACATTTCTTAACTATTCTGGCGATTCACTTTTACTGGTATTATGTTTTTCCCTCTTGCAGTTCTTCAGGTTTTGGAATGGGGGAAACGAAAGTGAGGAACTAAAGAAATCTTAGGGTTTGAATCCTTTTCCATCTGTCTTTGCTGCCATAATATTTTTTTGAGCAAAATAACTTTCTCAACCCTTCTATAATTTCTCCTAAACTTAGACTCCTTCCAAAATTCAGTGGTGGTGACTTCCAAAGTGACAAGAACGTAAATATGTCTTTGGACATATATTTAAAAGTAGCAGTTAAAAGTAATGGAATTGGTGCAGCAATGCAATATGGTTACTATTGTCAACATCAGTCACAGAGGAAAAAACAGTTGGCCAAAAGAGCAGTACCCAACATATAGGTTTCATGATTCCTTTTGAAGTTATGTCTAAGACAACTTTTTTTTCCACTCTCTCAGGAAACTTACTCTCTCCCAGGTACCCTCAAAAATATCTGAATCCAGTGAAAAGAACCAAACATCTACATGAGAACTGTAAATTAAGAGGTTAAAGATACTTATCTGTGGCCAGCTGGAGACCATCCCATATTTGTTATGCCCAGACTCTGGGATGGCTGGACATAAGCCAGCTGGATGTGGAAAAGTTGTAGTCCCATTATTGGTTCTTATTAGTACAGCCAAGCTACCATACCTCCCTGCTAAGCAGTTAGGGCTAGTAGAGTGAAACGCATTGCTTGGCTGTACACTTCCAGACCAAAGCTGGTTTGTATCCAGTTCTTAGCAGCAGAATTTCACTTTTAAAAAAATCATCCTTAGTACTCTATATATATTGTTTGGAGAAGAATTATGGTGCAGTATAGCTTCAATGACTGAACCAAGTCAAGAAATGTGTTAACGCTACAGCTACCGCTTTTACTTCATGATATTCAAGTCCGTTCAACTTACTAATGTCAAAATCAAAATAAGAACAAAATGGTATCACAGAAAAAAAGAATTGCCACCAAATTCCCTTGTGAATTCTGAATGCTTTAGTAAAGGAAACTGTCAAAAAGGAAATGGGTCAGTCATTCTGGAACTGTTTTGAAGGAAAAAGGTTTTGCATACTAGAATAATAAAAGCTTTGTAAATGGTATGCCAGATGCCTAAATTTCAGAACAGCAACAATATTCTTGGTGTTTGTTGGCTCACAGTTGGCACTAATACAGTGTAAACTAACAGTTGACGCTAACAGCTAAAAATCAGTCAGAAAACATTTTTTTTTTTCATTTTAAAGAGGGCTGAAAGTGAACAAAGTTGATTTTTTTTTTTATTATTATTTTTTTTTGTCATGGTCTAATGAAGCAGGCTCCGTTTTCTTAGCTGTAACTGAGTTAATTGAAGCAGAATCCAAAATAAAGTTTCTGTGAGAGGTAAATCACTGAAAAGTGGTAAATGCAAGTGTAAACAAGTTAAAAGTTAGAATTTGTGAACACTGTTCATCTGGCATGTTAGCTTACATTAGGAATGAAGCCTGGAGTCACAGCTTTATCCAGAACAGCATCCCAGTTGACATCAACTAAGTATGGAGAGCTTTGGATATCTGCAAGACTTGAAAGACGGCACTCTGGGTCCTTGGTGAGGAGCTGTGATCAAGCACAAGAAATTTTCTAAGGGACTGGATAAAACAGGAAATGTACTTGTAATGGTACACAATGTAGTGTGTGAGCATGGCTAGGGAATTCTCTAACAAGTTCTAGAAGGTATGATCCAAAAAATGGAAGTAGTAACTCATAGAATGAATATATTATATATATATATATATATATATATATATATATATATATATATAAAATATATAATCTAACTGTTAACAGATGGCTGCTGCAAATGTAAGCTGTATAAATGAATTAGTAACAGAAGCCTGTTTACGAATAGATAAGAGTCCAAGTGACATGAAACATCACAGTTCAATGTCACACAACAATTTGTACTTCATCTTTAATTTATTGGAAGATATTGTTACATTGAGCATCCTGGTAGCAGTTAAAATTGGCCACCTTGTTGCTCCATTTGTTAAAAATAGATTGCTCATTGCTGCAAAAGGAAAAGTTCTTCTGTTTCTCTATTCACACATTCATAAAATCTTCAGTACTGATGATTGGAAATGCCTAGAAGAGGTAGATGAACCTTACAGTGCAGAGAAAAAATAAAACAGATTGGGGTTTTAAGAAGAACACACCTTGTAGGGACATGGCACTTTGAAAAAGAACCCCATCTTGTAGCTTAGCAACATTTCCAGTGAAGTGGCTTGACTTCTACTATTGCGTCTGTAGCAACACAGGACAGCAAGAAATGCAGCCTTTTTTTATTTCTAAGGTCTCTGGCTGGAAACAGCAGCAGATAGTCAGGGAGCTGGAATTACACTTTCCTATCATTAGTGAATTGGTTTTAAAATAAAAATATTAGCTTTCTGCTTCTTTCTGGCTATTTGAAGTGTCAGCTTAGGAATAAGAATAATACAATTTCTTAAGAAAAAATACAGCATCAACAACGCTTGGAAAACCGTAGGGAAAAAGAACTACTTCCTTATCCTTGAAATTTTGGCTATCTAATGTGTGTCCTGATGTTCTGCATTGCTGGAGGGGCTTCTGTACGAGAAGAAAAGGGTGGAAGATGTTGTACTTTCTTACCTTTTTTAGTAATGCTGTCATGCCCTTGCACCATGTAGATGAGTAGTGGACTCTTTCTATCTTGAACATGTTGAGTATCTCATCAATGGGGGTGGCTGAATGAATTTCATATGGCCTCTAGAATTAAGTTAAATCAATATCAATTCAGCAGGAGTGGATAATAAATGTACACAATTTCCTCACATTTCCTGAGCTCAGTATTGTTTGTACTGGAGATATCGAAACATCAAAATATCTTGTAACAATTTCAAGCTAATCATTCATTGCATGTGTTCTTTTCTTTGGTTATAATGAATATAATTACTCATAGATGCATTTCTTCTCTAGTTTTTCTCTCATGCTAAGTATCCATTCAAATTAGTTGGTGAATAGTTTTGTTCTTGTGGCATTTCGTATGAAAATAGAATTTACTAATTTACTTTTTTTTTTTTTTTTTTTTTTAGCTTGTAGTACTAGGAAAAACTTGTGATTTAAGTAACCAAATGCAATATTGCTAGCTAAAGTGAGCTTTGTAATCCTGACTTCACTGAGATATTAAGCGTACAAAAATCTTCATGAGAGTCACGGTAAGAGCTCAGACTTTCCACAACCCAATCTTTTTTCATACCTCTTTTTGATATCTAAAATGAACTCATTGCATAGGTGTAGGTGTTATATGTACCTGAAATGCCTGGGCTTCACAGTGCTTTGATCTTGAAGATTGCTATGGTTTACCTTTTATTAAATGTAGCCTTTGGAAATAAAAGTACTACCCATAAATTTACTACTTAATTATTAAAAAAGCATATTTAAAGGTGTGTATTTCTGGTGAAAATTGTTAGAATATTGCTCTATGTTGAGGTGTATTGTAAAACTGGGATAGAGCATGGATTGCTTGTGAATTAGGCTTTACATAGTAACTACACAATGTGTGATATGAGATCTGGAGCCAAATGCTATTAGTACAGCAATGTGCAAATGCATAACTCCTGTAGATGGAAAATCCAGCATTATTTCAAGCAGTGTGCTGTCCTGGGTGCTTTGTGGTAAAACATGAGGCATGAGAACTGTTGCAGTTTATCGTCCTCCTCTGAGGCTGGGTGGGCTTCATGGTAGTGAAGGGGACTGCTTACCATGCAGCCCTGTGTGGTTGTGCTACCCCTTTGCAGCCATCTGCACAGAGCTGCTGCAGCAGATGGAGCTTCGGAGCTTGAGGTTGTTGCAAACATGCCTTGGGTGAAGCACCGTGCCTCAGAGTACCAATACTCCCCTTGTCTCTACTCCTAGGGATTTAGGCCTTAACAAGACTGAAAACACATAGAAATACAATTTGGGGAAAAAACACACCTTTTGCAGTTACATGCAAAGGTGTGGGCTCCAGTCCATGCTCTGCCTTGCTTCACAGGAAAGGGCTGCTCTTAGGGAAAAAACAAGCAGCTGGCTTGGTTGACTGGAGCATGGACAGATGGCAGTGTTTGCATTTAGGAAAGAAAAAAAAAAAAAAAAAAAAAAAAAAAAAAATTTTGATTCAGCCTCAGCTTTGCCTTGTCTCTGGCTAGACAGGCTTATTCAGAGACAACTGTACTGATCTTGGCAAATAGATACCCATCTATATCACTTTTCATTTACGAAAGTGATTGGGTATCTTCTGTTATTAGTCATGGGAGTTTCAGCTGTCCTTATATGATCATTGATTGTTTTCCTTTCCTGGAGACACTCTGTGGTGAAAGGATTGATGTAAAAGCAGATGGACATTTTTTTTCATTTTATTTTATATACATCTAGCACTTCCCTCTGTAACTGGGATTCAGAATGTACTTTTCTTATCACTGCCAGAACTTCACTGTTCAGATAAAAATTGAGAATCATGACAGGGAAAAATTGCAAAGCATTTTTTTAAATTTTTTAAAATAATTTAAGTTGTGGCTTTTTTTTTTTTTTGTTTGTTTGTTTTTGAGAGATGTACTGACATGTGGCATGGGAGAGAGAGATCTTTATACTGGGGCTGTGACTTTTGCCATTCCATGTGAAATATTTTGGCAAAGATTTTTTCACTATGTTTATTCACAGAATTGATTAGATAACTAATGAGTGAACTGGCAGATAAACATTTTTCTGTAGTTGAACCAGTGATGTAGGGATATTATTATCATCTTTTAAACATTATATAAGAGAATCAAAGATATAATGAAGCCAGAGGTAACTGAACTTCTATCTGGAAAAGATTCCATTGTTTCTAGTTCAGCATTTTGATTAGCCATTGAAATATTAGGCTTTAACCTTAGCACACACCAAAAGCCTATGTCCATTTTACACAAACTTCATATCATAAATGAGTGCGAGGTGATACCTTCCCAAGGATATTGTCAGCTGGGGAGGGCCCAGAACTGCATACCTGACCACAGTCTCAGCCTTGGTCACTCCAGTGTTATCATTAAGGGCATGTTCTGGAAATTGCAAACATTTGGATTTCTTTCAGGCAGTAGATTCAGCATTATTCTTACCCAACCCCTCAACAATTCATATGCTGTAATTCCTAGAGACCACCAGTCAACAGGGTATGAGTATCCTGGACCTCCATCCATAAAGGCCTGGAACACTTCTGGAGCTAAAATTGTAAAGGAAATCAAATGAAAAGCATTATATTAGGGTTATACTATGTATAATTCATGCATGTATTTTAAAAATCAATAAGGACGCAATAAACTGGGATTAAATATGTTTGCAAACACAGCATTTTCAGGATGCAGATTCAGTACCTTGGTTTGCTGGCAATGAGTGTTGTGTATAACCAGCAATATGCTGTGTTCCGTGTCTTTGTTTGCTTTGCTGAGGGTAGAGAGCAGTGATGGTGCATCTCTGGCTGATTTCCTCTCCAATGCAATATTATCATTTGCCACTCTAGCAAATTAAGGTCTCTCTTAGAACCATCCAGGCAGAAAATGCTGAGCTGTGGTCTATGCCATTATTCTTGCTATGTTCTATCTAGTACTGAGCAGAGCTGGGGGCAGGAGAGTATTCAAGATCATTCAGCACTCAATCCCAGGTAACCTTTACGCCCAGCTCTCAGATTAAATTCCATACTTTATCATCTGCATTACATACTTCTGGGGACCCTTCCCCATACAGGATTTTTAGTTTCGTATGTTGATTTTTTTCTTAATACACCTTTTGTGAACAAAAAAAGTGGGTATGGTAGGGAAATTTCTAAACTTAAGTGTGACTTGGAATATTTAGGACAACAAGGGCATACATTTTCTGGGACAAATATTTGTAAGTGAGGTCATTCTTTGTGATTAACTGAAGTGTTGAAGAAGGTAGATCTCATCTCCAGACTCAGTTATACATTTGAATAGAATTAATCAGAGGAGTTTAAAAGGTATTTAATATTAGAATATGGTAATTAAACACAAATCCTAATACTGATTTTTTTGCTGTGACAAACTGTCAGGATTGGAAATACATGCTGTGTCAGTAAATTAATGAATTTTATAAAGCTAACTTTCAAGGAGAAGGAGTTGGGTAGAACCCTGCTCTTTTCAAAGCAAGGGCCAGTTAGCTAATTTCAGCAAGACATAATGTTGCTGTGGTTATTCTCAGACTGTTATATCTAAAGAAGAGAGGATATGAAATGAAATTAAAAAAAAAAAAAAATCAGTCATGCTTTTCTAATTACCTCACAGCAGAATCTCAGTATGCTTTGTGGAAAGCACGCTTTCCCTGGAGATTCTCTGAACAACACCATCACCAACCATAACATCATGCTTCACTGCAATTACCCGGTGAGCCTCTTCTGGCCATGACACTGAGTCTAATGCACCACATTACCACCCGATTACTATCTCATCGCATTCTAATGCGCATACTGCAAGGAATAATTTAGTCTGGTCATGCTTAGTTCTAAATGGCACTTAGGGATTTAGCACCTAGAGAAGTACATTTAATTAAAGAACATTCTTTCCAGAGGAACTTTTGCAGTCTTTGCACCATTACACGTTGCATGCTAACAATTTACAGATCTAGTTGAGTTCAGAATCTTGAAGAACCAAACCCAATAGAAGATTTGGGTATCCATGATTTCATTGTGACAGAACTCTAGTCTGAAGAACAAAATAATGAATGAAAGTGGTCTTATGCTTTCTAACTATAGGACCATCTCTAAATAGATGTGGTAGGAGAAAGGCAGGCACTTAAACATTTCTTTGAACCAGAATATATGTGGCCAGGGAATAGCTGAAGAGTGAATCTTAGGTATCCATAATATTGTGCTGTGATCCAGTATGGTATGAGTGAACAAAACCTTAAACATTGTCATGATGAGTTAGCTCTGTCTCACCTCTAGCTAATATAGCTCAGCTTCATAAATTCATAGAATAATGAATAAATTCATAGAATCAGAGTGACTTGGGTTGGAAGGGACTTCAAGAATCACCAAGCTCCAATCTCCCTGCCACTGGCAGGATTTCCAACCGTTGGATTAAGAACTAGATTAGGTTTCCCAGGGCTCCATCCAGCCTGGTCTTGAATACCTCCAGGGATGGGGCATCCATATTCTCTCTGGGCAACCAGCTCCAGCATCTCACTGTCCTCTCAGCGGAAAAACTTCCCCCTGACATCTAATTTAATTTTTTTCTACTTTAGAATAAGACCATTCCCCCTTGCATCTTCAGACACGCTTCAGACATTGTTTGCATTCCACTAAATGCTCTCTCGTATGTGTAACTGTGTTACGTGGGTGGTTCATCACACAGGTATGTGCTGAGGACAGATAGATTTTCCCATTTTATTTTAGTGGATCAATACGTCTAAATACTTCCTAAACTGTGTACCAGGCACCAAAGTCATTTTGAATATCACTGTAGGTACCCTGTACTGAAGGTTTGCTTCATTTAGCCATATTTGGAATTATTTTTCCCACAGTGTGACTAAAGAAAATAACCTTTATGGACGTTATTACTCAGCTATACAGATACAGTACTGTTTCTTTTTTTTGTAGCTTTAGCATTGTAACAATGTGAAGAATCACTATCTGATTACTGTGAGCTAGAGATGAAAGCACTTTATTGATGTGACCTATGACATTACCAGAATGGAACAGCTATTTTTGCTAACTCAGCCTATGAGTTATCCACCTCCATTTTACTTGCTTACTACAAAAGCTTTAGCATCAACTGATTCCACGTTAAGCAGATGAACAGAAAATGCTTTCCTTTGTTCACTGGCCCTGGTGTTTTGAAGCTCTGTTTTCTTAAGCTGATGATATCAATCTTAAGATTGGAAAATGGACAGTTGGGCTCCTGCTTTTTAAAGTAGACAACCACTTTTCCTCTGCTTTAGTAATATTTGCACTCTGGCTGGACTGACCCTCTGCATTTGGTCAGCTTCAGAGGAGCTCTGGTAAGCACCTGCTTCACAAAATAAAGGAGGGCTGCTAGAAGATGTAATATGAGTTCTCATTTCCTAAATAGAGATTTATTCTCAGGGTGAAGTCTCAACTCCTCTGAAGCAAAAAAAGAAGTTTCCTCAATTTGCAAGGCTGTTGAGTACCAGTTTGAGACATTAGGTAAAAATGGAGGCCTCCAGCCTGGACAGAAGATTTCTGCCGTTTGCCTGCTTTGGGATTCTTACTCAATTCAGAAAATCAGCAAATTCTCCAAGTGCTCAATGTTAGCCAAAATTTGAACAATTATAATTGTGAAATATGGAGTACAATATTTTTTTTTTTTTTTTTTTTTTTTCTCTGTAAGAAAGTATGTCAGCAGAAACAATTGTGAGTACTAACTAGCTGGATAAAGAAAAAATTAAAACTGGAAGAAAAGTTAAAATTCTGCGCTGGTTTTCTTTAGGATTTTTACTGACATAGACTACATCTAATCTTTTAAAACTTGAACTCAGCCTCAGGTTGGATGGTCTTCCTGCAACCTAGAAGCTGCTGTGGGCTGGCTCTTATGTCCCTAAGAAGGATAAATTTGACCTTGCCAGGTTCGAACTAGGGGCACACTTTTCTCTCTGCATCCTTCCTGCAGAGATCTGCAGATCCTTTCTTCTTGTATCATAATTTTAGATTCAAGATGAGAGGAATACCTATGTCTGTCACCCCACGCATCTACCAAAATGCAAGGATACTGCCAGATAGAATTCATTCAGATAAATGGAAGGGAAAGAGTGAATGTAAGAGCAGGAGTTACAGATCTTTTTCCTTGAATAAATTCTGCTGAACAAGACTTCCAGGGAGAATACATACGTATTTCTAGGTCTGATTCTGTTGATTCTTTTGGGTGAGGGTTGTAGTACTATCACATACAGTCAGAATGAAGGCTGGTGAACCTCAGCTGATCACCTTCTTGCTCAACCCTTCTTAGTGTTGTGAGGAAGAGGCCAGAAGTTTCAGTGGGATCTCAACAGTCTCTCAGCAGTTATCATGAACAGCATGGGCTGTTCAACTTTTCTCAGATAGATGGAAAATTTGTCACCAAGAGTACTGGGATCTTATGAAATTCTCAGAAGCAATGCCATCTTTTGGCTTAGGCAAAAAATTACTCTCCCTGTGTGGCAGAGGAGTATGACCAAGCATCTTTCATACCAGGCTGCACTAAGCACAGACACAAAGCACTTCAGAAATAGCTAGGACATCTCTATGATAAAATCAGGAAAATAGCTAAGAGAAAATTGAACATGAAAGCAAACCTAGTGTGCCTGCATCAGTCTCAGAAGCAGTGACTTCCTGTGATACCCATGCTATTGTTCTATATGCTTAGCTATACTTGTAGATTCAAATAATTTTGTGAAATATAGAGCAATTTCTGACAAATCAATTTGCAGATACAACTCCTTGCTATAACTGTCAGATTATTTACATTGTAAATGACATAGAGGACTGGCAATACTTTACCCTTTTTGTGGAATATTATTAGTACTGATACGATTCCTAAACTTGAAATTAAAAGAGAATATCAGTGTAACTGAAGAAAAAAAAAAAACAAAAACAAAAACACTGAACCCTGATTTTCATTACTTTTTCTTGCTTTAAAAGAGTATTTTGTACATAGAATAAAACGCTTTTAATTAAGATTTCTAGAAGTCTGCAGAACATTCATAGGAGTGCAGAACATTTAATTCCATAGTTGAACTGTAAGCTCTCCAGGTGTCTGAAATTCAGGCCATTTTAATTTGGTGCCCAGTGGCAAGTATGAAAAGGCTGTCATGAGAAAAAGAAGTCAATTAGAGGTCACAATGGAAGCAACAAATAACAACCTAATTTTTTTTTTTTTTTTTTTTTTTTTTTTTTTTTAAGAGAGCATTCTGGTTTAATCATAAAGAAAAATCATTGGACTAAATCATAAAATGAATAGGCCTTGTAATAAATAAAGGTCTTGTAATGGCTCTAAAATGAATCCCAAATAGCACAAAATAAAGTTTCTTGTCTCATGAGCTGATTTAAGGCTCACTTCCTTAGCATGAGCCTAATCAAAGAGCGCCTAGCGTACTTGCCTGGCTCTGTGCAGGAGGCTATGGAGTGTTGATTAAGGAGCTTACAGAGCTGCTGCTTACAGTAACCCAGCAGCAGCTTCCATGGTCTGCCTTGAAACTTTGTTAAAATGGTGAGAG